TATACCCCCATCATATCTAGGAAGTAACTAACTTGCTTTTGATTTTACAAGCACATAGGCAGAAAGGCTTGCCTTGTCTCAAACGAGAGTTTGGACCGTGGACTTTTGAGTTAATGCTGAAATAAGTTAAGACTTTGGGGAACTGTTAGGAAGGCATGATTGGTTTTGAAATGTGAGGATATAAGATTTGGCAGGGGCCAGGGGCAGAATGATATGGTTTGGCTGTGTCCCCACCCAAATCTCATCTTGAAGTTTCATGTGTTATGGGAGGGTGGTGGGAGGTAACTGAATCATGGGGGCAGGTCTTTCCTGTGCTGTTCTTGTGATAGTGAGTTAAATCTCATGAGAGCTGATGGTCATTATAAGGGGGAATTTTCCTGCATAAGCTCTGCCTTTGCCTGCTACCTGCATAAGCTCTGCCTTTGCCTGCTACCATCCACATAAGGCATAACTTGCTCCTCCTTGCCTTCCACCGTGATTGTGAGGCTTCCCTAGACACATTGAACTGTAAGTCCAATTAAACCTCTTTCTTTTGTAAATTGCCCAGTCTCAGGTATGTCTTTATCAGCAGCATGAAAATGAACTAATACACTATGTGACTCAATGTATTTCTGAAGGCAGTTACAAAAGAGGAATTTCAAAAACATTCTGTGAAACGGCTGCATTACTGAAATAAATAAATTACCTGCCAAGGTGACTGCTTTGAAGATGAACATTAATTTGGATGTGTTAGATCTCTCTGTTTTACAGTCACACCTGGAAGAATGTTTTAGTGAGCCTAGCTTTTGCAGCAGAATAAATGAATACCACTCACTTCATACATAATTATAGACCAGAATAAAATGAGAAAATGAATAAGACCAGAAAATAGAAAATACAGTGTAGTACTATCCACTCTTACTGCGATAATACTAAAAACCACAGTGAAATGACCAGGCACAGAACCCTTTAACACTTTAGGGTGATCTTTCTGGGGAATCACCCTCAGTAGCATTTACTTAAAAAATGATCAGCAAGAATAATGTGAAACTATACTAAACAGTTCAGAAAAACAAACAATATGTTATTTTGGATTTGCTTCAAAATGGCAGTTGGGGAGAGGCATAAATGAACTGGTCTTAAGTGCATATTATTGAAGCAAGTGGATCAGCACATCTGTCTGCTTTTGTTCATGCTTAAAATTTTTCATCACAGAAGACAGAAAATGTGAAAAATTATTGGAATACATAGCTTTAGAAAATGAGAAAATGAGCATATCTTAGGGCTACACTGATGTTAAGAATAGATTTTTCCCTCCAATCCAAAATATCGACACTATCAATTCAGAGATGTAGATTTTTAATAAAAAATGAGGTTATATGCCAGCTGATGGTTCTTGGCAATGAGAAAAAACCAGACCAACTTACAGTAGGTAGCTACTGGTTGGGAAATAGTTGTATCTCTATAAGCTATTTATATGAATACGCCTAAGCAAGTAGATCTATAACCATCATCTGATTATCTTTAATGTTAACAGAATATGTGGAAAAATTTAATATGTTATAGGCTTGCCTTCAAACTCAGCTAAATGTAAATATGAAATCTATATATATCTAAGACGTAATTATTTTTTTAACTTGGCGTTTTTTGTGAATACTGGTTCAATTACGGCAGTAAAATACATATAAGCTCATGGGTTTTATACGTGGAATTCAATGAACTTTACATGAAACTGGGGCTGCTGAGCAGCCATATTGGAATGCCCTTTCAGATTTTGGATTTATAGAGTGAGCTACACTATTTACTCCTGAAGACCAGTAGCATGAAGATGCAATCAGGTGGTTGGAGCACAGGATTCAACTGGGATCACACTTTTGATCTTGGTTTCATTGGCAGTGTGAAACCAATTTTGGGCAAATGCCCAAAGTTGTGCAAAGTTGTGTGCCCTCATGCTAATTTTCCTTAAATTTGTTAAATTTTACCTACTTGACCTGTTCTTGACTAACACCACAAGAAATTTACTGGAAGAAATTCTAGGTTGAAAATATCAAATGAAAAGAAATGCCAAGATAAAATGACTGAAGTTGCAAGGAAATCTTGTGATTTAAAAAGCAGATATTCTTTAAATTTCTTTAAAGTTCATAGGATGTAATGTAACCAGTCCAGTACTGTTTTATAACCAGGCTGACATGGGTTTCAACTCTCATATATGGTTATATAATTTGGGGCAAATTGCTTATTAGCTTTTTTGCCTAAATTTCACCAGCTTTAAAATGGACGTGTCAAATATGTCATGAGGGCTAAGTGAGAGCACCAGAACTAACACTCACTGTGGGCTTACTATGGGCAGACACTATCCAAAGCACTATACAAACACTACTCATCTAATCTTCAAAACCTCCCAATTATGCAACTACTATTATTATCTACATTCTTCCAGATGAGGACACTAAGGCAGAGAGTTGAGTCACTTGTTCAACAGCACTAGTAGAATGAAAATCTGAACTTGAGTGCTCAGTATCCAAACCCCACATCTTTGATGACTCCACATAACTTTGGACACAATAGCAGCTCAGGGAACATTTGCTCTTTCATTTTTGGAGGCCTGCAGGTAATTAATTATTTTATAGATGGAGAATCCAACCTTATCCAAGTATATATTTAAAATAAAACTTGAGGCTGGGAGTGGTGGTTGACACCTGTAATCGCAGCACTTTGGGAGTGAGGCGGGCAGATCACCTGAGTTCAGGAGTTTAAGACTAGCTGGGCCAACATAGTAAAACCCCATCTCTGCTAAAAATGTAAAAATGAGCCAGGCGTGGTGGTGCACATCTGTAGTCCCAGCTACTTGGGAGGCTGAGGCAGGAGAATCACTTTAACCCAGGTGGTGGAGGTTGCAGTGAGCTGAGATCATGCCACTACACTCCAGTCTGGGTGACAGAGTGAGACCCAATCTCAAACAAACAACTCACTTTATTGTAACGGTGGTAAAAGCCTTCCCTAGTGTTAGTTTTTAAAATCATTACTATCTAAGCTTATATGTAACTATAAGTGGAAATGTCAAGCAATTTATGGCAAAGCTGACATTTTGAGTTACCTAGTTTAGAATATCAAATTTTCCAAAAGAGTGTTTTACAGAAAGTGCTTACTAAACTAGATAAAATAACATCCTCTTTTTCCAATACCAATAAAAGTTACAAAACAACCTCTATTGAAAGTAGAATATTCTGAATCACCTGAGTGAACAAATACTAATTTTTAACATTTCCTTCCAATGTTAAGAAAAATATGGAGAATGCAATTTCTTGTTAGGATTAACTGAGTTATTTTAGAGGATATGTATATCACTTCTATACTAATGAATAGTATTTAAAATTAATAGAATTATGTTAATGTTACAGAAAAGCAGATACAGTCAAAATTTTAAATTATTTCTCAAAGGATTAAATACAAGGGAATCTATACAATATTAAACTTGAATTATCCGCTAATAGTAAGATGCTTTGGCACGTTTAAAAATACTAACAATTACTTGTGTGTAGGTGTCAAAATGTATGACACTCCAAGCAATGGGCGTGTGGTGACTCATCAGTTGTCACAAGAACCAAACAGCTGCCTGTCATTAACCCTAGGTATTGTGAGATTTACTGAAAAGTTTTACCAAGTCTTAACTGCATTGAAATAAATTCCCTGCTGCAAAATATTTAAATGATGTTATTGGAATTCAAAGTATATTGAACTTTGAAGGAGTGATAGGATCCCATGAGTTTTTAACAAAGTTTATTGTATATTTGTCAAAAATAACAGTGACTTTTCATTTGTACTGAACTCTACATTTTAAAACTCTATGTCTAATAAATTTACAGGAAAAGTACCGAATGATTATATTACGAAAGAAATGGAAAATAACTATTTCACTGCCCTAATTGAACCAGTATTCACAAAAAATGCCAAGTTAAAAAAATAATTACCTCTTAGATATATATAGATTGCATATTTACATTTAACTGAGTTTGAAGGCAAGCCTGTAATGTATTAAATTTTTCCACATATTCTGTTAACATTAAAGATAATCAGATGATGGTTATAGCTCTACTTTTAGGTATATTCATATAAATAGCTTATAGGCATACAACTATTTCCCAACCAGTAGCTACCTACTGTAAGTTGGCCTGGTTTTTTCTCATCATTGCCAAGAACCATCAGCTAGCATATAACCTCATCATCAAATACATGAGTAATACAAAACTAAAAATGTAATCACCTACAAATTCTCCATGTTTTCTAAAGTTACCAACATTAAAGGAACTTATTTCCTGAAATTTCATTTGCCCACCAACTCATGATGAATTATAGAAATATTAAAATACATCTGGACTGTCCAAGATGAAAATATAAATTCACAAATGGGAGGGATTTTAAGGTAAAACCAACAAAAAACACAAATAGTAGTGAAATTAAACCCATACGCTGTCTTTAACAATGCCAAAATTAAATATATTCAAGTTAACTCTAGTCTTTGGTAGCATAGTTTTCTCACATTTGGTCCAGACTTAAGAAATGTTCACTCTATAGCCTGCATACAGATTTATTAGAAAACAAAATTTCAACTGCTTGGATATGTTTCAGTAGTGTCTTTTGGTCTCTGTGTACAGTACATAAGTAGTGGCAGAAGGTGGCAGTACTGAGCTAGAAAAAAAACCTCAGAAGGCTTCAGAAGCTGTAGCAGAAAGCTGAGGTGTAGTCCAAAGCCCACACTTTAAAATTGATCATTAGACTTTATCATAGATAAATAATGTAAAACTCTGGCAAACCTAATCTATAAACTACATGTTTCTAAAATGACTAAAGTTTCTTAATCGAAAACCAGGAATTTCAAGAAATACCTACTTTACAGCATTGTTATCCTAACTGCCCAGCAACATACATAGATTTAAAAGATAGTGAAATGTGTCTAACAAAATAATAAAATGCAAACCTTTTAAAGGGATCAATGAGGCAGAAAGGTCCATAGAGCTTACCATTCATCAGGAGAGCAGCCATAATCCTCAGGTTCAGGGACATGGCTTCAGAAAGCAAGAACAGGGGCAGAAAGAGAGGAAAAATAGTCACAGAAAGGCTGGAATCATAAAATCATGAAGAAGGAAAGCATGAAAAGATAGATCACTGAGAAGTTAATGAAATGAACTTTTAGTTGAATCTGAAAGAATGGCAGTTAGTATAGTAAATAGAACATAATGACTCACGGTAGCTAAGCAGGTTTACAAAGTTATCCTGTAACTGTATAGCCAACTTGCCTCTTCACAACACTTACTAATTTTGTGCACAAAATTCATAATTCAGTAGGAATTATTTGAACTTAGCAGTTTAAATATATGCTAAAGCCAATGGAAAATTAATCATGTGTTATATAATCAGAATAAAATGTTTTAAGGCAACAAACATGCTAATATCTTGGAACATACTAACACACAAATAAAATTTATCAAATACATTTTAGAAGTAACTTTGGCACCATGAGATGATGGTTACTTCAACAGGTACACTAAAGTGAAAGTTAACTATATTTCTATAATTAAATGGAAACTTAGTTTAAGAGATTAAATGATATGCAAAATTTTTTCTTAAACTGTAATCCAGTAATTAAAACATTCTTTATCTCAAACAGAAAACATATTTATCAATACTGTCTTTAATTTCATCCATTAGCTCATCTGAACACTAGGAAAGTCTGAGAGATGTATTTCATTTCAATCAGCCAGTCATGTATTCAGCTGGAAGGGGCCCATAATACATGACAGAACAGATTTTCTTATTTTTCATTTCTTTCATAATATAATCATTCGATACTTTTCCTTTAAATTGATTAGACATAGAGTTTTAAAATGTAGAGTTCAGTACAAATGGAAAGTCACTGTTATTTTTGACAAATATACAACAAACTTTGTCAAAAACTCATGGGATCCTATCACTCCCTCAAAGTTCAACCTTTCATTAACCCGGCCAAGGCAGGAACTCCATTCTTCCACTTCCAAAGGCACCTCTTCCACTTCCAAAACATTAAATTGCTTCCAGTGCAGTATCCACTATATCACTCCAATCACAATGGAGGTGGCCTCTTTTCACTTACTATTCTCTCTCCTACCAAAGGGCTTTTATGCATACTTAAGAAGAAGGGCTAACTAAGCCCTTTGTGGACTGGACTCCCAGAAAAGGAGTTGGCATGCTGCAAAGAAATTGCACTCCATGTTTAAAGCAATCACTTCTGATCAACCTCAAGGCTTGGACCCTAGCCCATGGACTGTGCCAGGGAAGGGCCTGGTACTATCCAAGCAACACTGTGCATGGCCCTGCCAAGCTGCACTAGCCCCTGATCTCATACCAGGACAGGGGATAGTTTCCCAAGTTACACAGCTTAAAAGCTCCAGTGCTCAAGTGTCAGAGACCCTCTCCCCAGCGGTGGTGCAACCCTGAAAGAATGCTGAGCACTACCTACAGCCCACACATCTGCCACTGATCCTATATACAAGTTTCCCTGTGATTGCTGCTCCAGAAGCTCTGGTGTCTACATGCTATCTGGCTTTTTGCCTTTGTATGTGCCAGTGCTGTAGTATCTACCTGGTAAGTTCTTCACTTAATCAAATTCATTCTTAGATCTCAACTCCAGAATCACTTTCTTAGGGCTTTTTCTGCTTTCCCTGGTTAGAGCAAATCATGCATCATAGACTCACATAGACCTCTATTCTGTGTTAGGACTTTACATTTGTCTGTACGCTTACTTAATTAGCATTCACTAACTGCCAATTAGACGATATACTTTCAGCAGGAGAAAATCATGTGAACTTTTGCCTATTTTACCTCCGTCGTCTATCCAAATGTCACATATATTAACACATGAGATAGGCAAATAAATAAATGAATGGGGTTGACTAGTATTTATCACAAGTCATGGTGAGCAGTAAGATAAACGTGGCGGTAATCTAGATCTTGGGGGTTAGTATTACGATAATCGTGAAATTTCTCATGGTGAACCTCTTCTCAGGGGAGTAGTTTATCCTCTCAGCAAATATATAGTGAAATCAAATATTGTCAAGTAAAGCTATTCACCTACTAAATTCATATGTAAAGATTGCTTTATAAAAGTTTTTTATTTAAAGGGAAAATGCAAATGATGTTTTTAATACTAATTAAGTGCCTTGTCCACATTAAAAAAAGCATTATTTAGTTTGCTTAACAGAATTTCTTTTTAGAGAGTGTACCTTGTTAAGCCTCATCCAACTTACTGTATAAGTAAAGCCTAAATTTTTACAAAGATAGCACTTAGGACTGTATCCCAGATTCTTCACTCTATTGAGATTTGTAGCCACTCAACAGAGAAACTGCTTACCTATTCTGGGTATTCAAGTAACTGTTATTAAACTGACTTATTCCCTACAGGAAGCAATTAGCTGAAATACTTTAATAACTAATGTTTACAGTAAAATGTCTAGTTTGTCATAAGCTAAATTTACAAATGATATCATAATTCACTTACATTTAACTGTAATTGTCCCATAAAAAGATCTAATGAAATAATCTAATAATTTTAAGCACATAGTGCATTCCTAACTAAAAGTTGATCTCTACAAGATAATCATCATTGCCAACTATGTACAAATCTTTTTTATTTTGTTGACCATCATGAATCCAATTTGGGGCAAAGGTTCAGGGAAATGAAAGAATATTTATTACAATTAAATTCTGACACACTGTTTTAAGCGTTAATTATTATTTCCTTACAAACCTATGGAATACACAGAACTAGCTAAGAATTATACTATCAGGAAACTTCAAGTCTTATTTTTCTAACTGATAAAACACAACAGAACTCACTTGAACCCTAATCTGGGGTGAAACTGAGCTACCTGATGTTTTGGCAACATTGAGGCAAAATCAGCTCTGCACTTGTAAACCTGAAGGCTTTTGTCAGGATATGAAATTTTGTATTACTTTCTGGTTTTGCCATCTCTCTGCAGGGATAAACGCCTTGCTTCCTCCCACTGGGGTTGGAAGAAGTGCTCATACATAATAGTTCCCATATTAAACAACTGTTAAACACTGCTCTGGGGAAAATGGGATAACAAAACCATGTCATTTCCCTCTGGCTAGATTCCCATAATCCAAGAGTGCCCAGAGGAAATCCACACAGAAAAGTGCTCCACAGTAATTACTCTCTCTCACCCCTTCATATCTAATCATGGAGTCTGGCAGTAATTAAGTAAGTGTTATGTTCTCTATTGTAAACATGTGGTCAAGTCAGAAGTCATGGCTTCTCCAAAACCTTCAGACATCAACAGCTCTCTAAGATGCTAACAATCCAATAATCCACCAGGATATTCTCGGGAGGGGACGCTGATAAAAACTCAAGGTTAAGGATGCCTGAAGGCACATATACAAACAATATATGATCACTGGAAGCAGTTTAACTCTCTTTACTCTACGTGGCTTCTGGTATTCTTGAAAATATGATACCATAACGAAAGAGGAAACATTTCAGCTTATACAGTTAAAATTTGCAAACAAACAAAGTTTTGTTTTTATTTCTAAACATTATGTTAGATTTTATATCCGGAAAAGGACCTTAGAAATGGTTTAGTCTCACTGTCCACATCTTAAGAGTAGGGAATATCTAAAAATAAATTTTCTAGTATTACATGATAAATTCTAGATATAGCCAAAACTCATAGCTTATGACTGAATCTCAGTATTAAGAAATATTATTTCCTCGAGAGAAAATTCACTTCACTGGCAATTTAATCTCAATGATGACAACACTGAGCTCAGACCCGCTCTATCCTGTAGCAGTTGTTAATGATGACATCATCAACAGACACTGAATAGTACTGCTCTTTAGAACTACTGCCTAGGAGTGTTTAAGGACCTCTTCTAAGAATAAGAAAAAACCTAATATAATGGAGAAGAAAAAAGAGGCTAGGTCTGATTTTAGCTTTCTGTTCTGATAATTTCACAATCAATAATTACTAATTTGATGAACCTGCTTATTGAATTAAAAATCAAAAAGTAAAAAACAATGCCAATTATTAAACAGGTCACTGTGGAAAAACTAGTAATGAATGAATACAGAATTTGTGTAAAAAAAATCACCATAAATCTGACAACATGATAAACACTAGAATTGCAATAGGCTTTCCTTTTCTCCTCTGGGATGATTTTGGGTAGAATATACAAGTACAAGATGTCAAAAAGTAAGGCTGCAATTCTCCTGCGCCAGCAGCAATTTGTTGGGGGGAGCGGTGTAGCCAGGTGAGCCTCTTTCATCTAAGGAAATTAGGACATCTCCAGATAAAGAAGAAAGATGAAAAACCGCATCCAGCCCAGGAAACAGTTATTCTTCTTAAATGAACAGCCTGTCTTTACAGTGTGAAAAAGCCACTGAATCAACTGTCTTTTTAACCTCACTTATACACAGAGTTTATACATTTATACGCAGAGTTTAAAGTCACTTTTAGTCATGCTCTCATAACCCAAAGAACAAGGACATCTAGGAACAACCACACACTTTTGGGATTTGAGTACTTTTTATAATTTTGACTAAGGCACTTTCAAAATGTTACACTGTTCGTCATTGGCTTACTGCTCAGAGTGAGTGGGGAAGAGTGGGTGCAAGCCAGAAAACCTAGAAGCAAGTGTCCATGCTTGTATGAGTAGGAGGTTGATATTTACTAGTCTCACTTGTAGGTAGATAAAGATAATTGGCAAATTTGATAATAGGCCAATGTCAACAAACCAGGGGAGTGTTTCATCTTTTGGTGTCTTTTCTAGGGATTGCAGAAATTAATTTTCTCACATTACACTATAAAATATTTCAAAGAGGGGGCTATGGAACAGGTTGTAAGCATACCTGGAAGTAAGAAATACATTAAATGAGTGCTCAACAAACATATTTTAAAGAAGATTAACAGCCTGATAAAAGTTTCTGATGATATGAATTATCCTCTAGATTAAATATTTTCATGTCTCTATCTCGTCTCCATCATCAGAATTTTAGATTGCTCTATGACTACAAAAAGGAGAGATGGTAGAAGAAAAAAAAGTATCAAAAGGGTAACTGTCACTATTTTAACTTGAAAACTGCCCAAGGCCTGATTAGCTGTCCTTACCAGATCCAAACTATACTCTAATTTATAGCAGTGTAAAGGGAAATACATTTGTTCCTTATTACTAGAACCAGAGAGAGACTTTCAGCAACATTAAACACTGAAAGTACCATTGGGCAGAGCACCCATCTCATGTCATCCCAAATGAAAACAATGCCAAACTACAAACACAAAATACACATGTGTCCTAAAACAGCTGTTTTTAAGATTGAAAAAAATCCTCATTCCCTCCCCTAATAAGAACTCCCAAATATACCAAACTGTTAGTACTAATTAAATGTGTATTTCATATCCTAAAGAAAAAAACTCACCCATAAGCAACTCCTGCTATAGTGCACTTCTTAAACTGCATTACATTGCATGTGAGAGTACCAGTTTTGTCAGAAAATATGTATTTAACCTAAAAAAGTTAAAAATTTCTCATTAATATTTCAAAAGTCTTTATGTCAGTCTTTTATAGCGAAAAAAAAAAAAAAAAAAAAAAAAACAACCCTAATGCTTTTTATTAACATTGCAGTGGCACAGTGAATACTACTAAGGGACTACTTTCTGCATACTCATCAAGGAATATATCCAGCTTTTAAAAAAGTATTTTACAAATGAATCTTTTCACATATGAATACTAAAGACTATCACCATACTAGAAAACTAAATTATATAGACATACGCCTTAGTATGGTCTGAATTTCCACTAGAAAGTGCTACTACCACTACTTAACATCAATAGAGCACCAAAACATCTATCAGCATTTCTCAATACAACAAACAATTGTACAATTTGTAATAGCTTGTGCAATTAACTTCATGCAACATCTGAATTAGTAAGAAATAAGAATAACTCTGGACTAGATTCTACTTGTAAAGTATAAGTTGGAATATAGCAATGATACAAAAAATCTTTTTTTAGCTAGAATATGTAAACGGATTACAAATATACACTTATGTAAATATAGTATGAATTATAAATCTAACATTCCTATTGACTAGCCTCACATAGCTTCATTGTTGTTAAACTTTTCCTCCCTTCCTGGTTGAAAGCTAGGAACAATTCTAAAACTATGTTTATAACTCAAAAACAGCCAATACGTTGCATACTAGTTAGGCTATTATACTGAGGGATATCTTTAAGTTCGTGGAGTACTCTACCTTGAAAGCAAAATCTGCTTTAAACAGTGTTTTCAAAAATTGATTTACTAAAATGAAAATTGTTCATCATGCACTAACAAATACATTATCCAAACAGCAGAAAATTAAAAGCTGTCCATTCATCTGAAGTTATCATATACGGCAGATACCACACCAAATCTGACTTTTAAATTCAACACATATCAATAAATCGAGTTTACCTGGCCAAGTTCCTCATTCAGATTAGATGTTCGAGCCATAGCAGCAGTGTCTGTGGGTTCATAGTGCATGTCAAGATCCTTTAAAAAAATTAAGTAAATCATTGAATATAACTAGTAATAAGGAATTGGGTGAAATTTTAAAAGAAAACAAGTAGTATCTTCATACTTCAGTAAGTCACTGATGTACTATATGTAATCACTAATTTCTTGTCATCCCTATACCATTTACTTCTATTTTTCTAAAAAGTGTTCAATATAGACTATTATATTCCACAGTAAGCGCAGAACAGTACAGTAGTGACAGCCTATGAATCCTGCAATCTAGGTTTACTATCATTCCACCATTTTCTATATAAATGACCTATTATAAGGATTAAAGTGCTTCCTAATGTGTCTGTCATAAGGCAAGTATTTAGTAACGTGAGCTAGAATTCAGCAACTAAACAATGCTCAAATAATTAGGCTTTCAAACTCCTGGAAACAATACCCAAGAGGTTCTATCCGGTTGTACCTTCTGGGCCAAGTTTCTTGCACTGCATATTTGTTTTCTTGAAAGAAAAGCAAAATGCACTTCTCAAAAGACAAACAACAATGTACAGCTTTCGTACTTATTTGTACTTGACTTGTGCCCATTAATCATGAGACTTGACTATTTCTACTACAAAATTAACATTTTCTATAGTAGACTATTCTATTAACAAATCAGGGTTGTAGTTCACAAATTTTCACGTCAAATGAAAAGGCCAAAATTAAAATCAAAGCCCATCCTCTCCCATGTCTGTATTCTGAACCAATCAACATCACTTCTGAAAAAGGCTGTTGCATATTTTAAGAAAGATATTAACCAACTGGGCCTTTGTTGAGAAGAGAAAGAGTGATTAGAATAGAGATTAAGCTGGAAATCACATGAAATGAAGGACAACAGAAGACGACAGGGAATGTTTAGTAAGAAAGGAAAAGACAGGATAGAACTGGAATAATAGCTGAGGTAAGCTCTTTTGCCAGACTATCTTTCAGAAACTAGATTAAGCATTTTCATAATAGATTAATTGGGAAGAACTAGATCAAACAAAGACAGTTATAATTTCGTTTTCACACAAGAAAGAAGTTGCCTTGTAAAAGAAGCCTGGAAAGCTAGTGTTCTGTCAGATATTATAAAATCTCTGTATATTAGAAAGGTGGTTGAAGAGCATATGCCTGCTGGGTTCATTCAACACTAAAATTATATAATTGCTTGAAAAATATTATTTTTGAAAATAAAAAAATAAAGTGATTACCTAGTTTACTTATGTGATCCTCACAATGAGTTACCCTATTAAGAAACTTCAGTAAGCCTTACTTACATTTGTACACATCCTATTACATAATTTTTCAGCCACATAGCTCCTGCATGAAGTGAGCTACACCTGCAGCTCATTTTAGATTTCTAAATTACACTGATTTCCTACCAATGAATTAAGAGATTGACAGTTTAGGTAGATCATTTGCTACAAGAAGATAATGAGCAATTACATTTAAAAAAATCAGTTATATTAAAAAAAATCCTAATATTGTTCATATTGAAAGACTTTACAATGATTGAAAAAGAAAGAAACAACAAAAATAACACCAAAGTTTCTCAAAATAAAAGAAAAAGTAAATTTTCTGGCAGATTAGGCCCACAGATTTAATTTACATAATAAATTCATTAATTTTAACTTATAAAAATAAAACTGTAAGACCACACTTAAAACATTTTGAAAATAGATGTTCAACATTTTTCCAATATTTAACGATATTCAAGAAAAAAATTATGAAGAAAAATTTGAGTGAAACTAAAATTGTTTACAGTGTGGAAAATAACATGATATAACATGATAATCTGGCTGATATCAGTAGCAATTACAGTATTATTTGTATAATGCTTGATTATTTATGAAGCTCTTTGCTATGTCAAGAGATTCCTTAGTCCATAAAACCACTGTGAGATGCACGTAAGGCATATTATACCTATGTCTGTGTTCAAGAAAATAAGTTTCAAAAGAAGTGACCTGAGAAAGTTGTTACACCTAGTAAATTATAATACTAGAACCACAATTCAGATATTTAACTCTAAACTCATGGTTCTCCTTCTCCCATAACCACTATGTATTCTAAAATAGGTTTCCTGTACTACAGACCCAATTTCCCCACAATGTCTGGTCTGTAAACTTATGATTCTGAGATGAGGAACTTTGCTACAAATTAGGTTCAAAAATGTGATCCTGTGGTCAAGAAAAGGTAATATAATTAAGACCTTAATGCTCCTGGGATATCAAAGCATCCTAAGGACAAAATTATTGTGTAGGGTGAAAACAAACAACAGTAATTCATATTTACCCAATTTATGAAGTATGCCTGGGTAAATTTCACAACTTCTAATGTAACCAACAAGCTGATAGGAATGAGATTGTTGAAAAGGATGATGAAGGTCAAGAAATTCAGTCCAAAATTATTAGCACCACCATCTATTGGGAGAGGCAGAAAGAATGTCATTTATAGTTTTATATTTTATTTGTATTGACCGCAAATTAGCATAGTGTAAGTTTTCCACATTACGTAGCTTATTTGATAATTTGGGAGGAACATTTTGCTGATGATCTATCCTAATTCTCAAGTATATCCTTCAAGACAGAATTGCATTATTTGTGTTCAATATGTTGTTAATCCAGGTAAGAGCTGTATAGAAGTAGTAAGGCAGTGAAAAGGATTGTCAAATATTGCAAATCCTGTTCTAAACACAAAGTTTAGAGATATTAGGGAGACCACTGAGGGTTTATAACTATAAAATCTCAACTGGGTAGAATCACTTTTATACAAATTCTTAAAAGTATTTCCAACTTAAAGTATGCTTTGAAAGCAAACAATTAAGACAGCAACAGCAAAAACAATCCAAACTATGAGTACTATTCAGTCCTAGGTATATTATCCTCCTAGGTACATTATACTCTTCTTCCTCAATAATGAAAATAAAATAGCTATACCAGACACAACTGTAAAGTATACAAAGAAACAGACTGATGGTAGTAGTAACAGTTCTGATATTGAAATAATAAAACAGTAACTATAAAAACAACTTGGAATTGCTGCAAAGATAGATCAATGTAATAAAAAACTTTAAAAATACCAGTTTTTGCTATATTATTTTACATGAAATTGTTTTTACACTTTCAGAAGTTAAGTCTTTATTGGCTAAGTACTTATGAAATGAAAATCTAAACTTATTTCACAGAGATATCTAGGGGTGGTACATTAATACCACAATAATAAAAGGATAAATTCTCTAAAGGTAAACTATTTACTAGCACTTTCTCTGAGATAAGATAATCATTTAATACAGAACTCACTACATTACTGAGTTCAAATGAAGGCACATTCATTTTAAACATTTTTAAACCATATAAACCAATTTTTGGTGCTTTTATTTATTTAAAATATAAATAAAATATATTTTACTTAAAATAAGTAATTTTATTTAAAATATTTATTTATATTTAAATATATAAAATATATATTTAAATATATATTGTATTTTAAAATATATAAAATATATATTTAAATATATATATGCTTTATGATATCCACACATGGTCAATCTACTTTCTTTACCATATAGTTAACCACCTGTGTTAAAAATATTTTTAAGGAACAGTTTTCACTGATGTATATCATAAATGGCTATACATAGTTAATGGTTTATACCACTATAGGGTGTTCATTATGTTTTTAAGGATTCTGACATTTTAGGATTCCAAAATTTTACTTACACTTGCTAGAAATCTCATTGGGGAAAAAAAAAAAAGATTAAACGTCCAGCTATCTTGGCAACAAGGTCCTCTTTTTAGAAACAATAGAAAATTCCACAAAGTAAATTAAGATCAATTGTGAAACAAATATATGTTTTAATTTGAAAAAGTGCAGTAAGCACTTTATTGCTTACAGTTTAGATTGAGATACCAGTCTTTTCCAGAATGCCTTCGATTCCAAATGGCTGAGCCCACAGAACAGACAAGAGACATGGCAATTAAGATACAAAATAAAATCAAAATTTGTACATTTGTAATCCGTTCCACATTTGAGAGCTTAAGTGGTGGACTTGTTGAATTCTGTAAAAAGAAACAAGATGAGTAATAAAAACTGTACACCAATAATTTGGTAATGTATACTTAGTATTTTGTTGAGGATGACAAAGTCACAGCTCGGTATCTAGATGTAGGTGGATGCTTGAAAATTATGCCAAATCCATGACAAATGTAGTAAGGTGCCAATGGTTAACCACCTTTTTTTTTTTTTTTCAAGGCCACTATACCACCCAAGACTTTTTCTAGGAAGTAAACTATAAGAAAGAAGAGGAGAAGGAAATCACATTCCTTTTGCAAAAACAGCTTTTGCATTGCGGCAGGTGAGATGAATATTGCATTCCTTGGCTATCTAAGCAAACAGGATAGTCTGGAAACATTTAGTTAGTGTTTCAGCTCAGGAAGAGTGGTAGACAAGGCAGCCCATGTACTCACAACCAGGCACCGGGAAATTTCAACATATGAAGGCAATATCTAAAGGATCTCTGGTTTTGAAATTTCTGGTGGCATTTAGCAATTGTTTTACTCAATGCAGCAGCAATTTAAGTAGTGCTGGCTAAAAAGGACAACAGAGTCAAGTTTCTCTGGGTGTATTTGATGAGTCAAATGGTTATTTAGGCCTGTGCTAACCAAAACAATTCACAGGACAGAAAATTAAATGTCATAATCAATGTAAAATGAAGATTTATAGAATTTATAAAATGGCTAGGGCTGGAATCACTAACAACAATCTCGTTTGCTTTTTGATACCTTCATGCTTGTACAAGGTACAAAGGTGTTAGCTCTTAGAGCAGACTTTCGTTTAGTTTCTTAAAACTGTCTTCCATACCCATCTAACTACTGAATATGATGGTATTATAACGTAGAATTAAAAGTTGATGAATTAAAGAATTAAAGCTGCTGGCAAAAACAGCCTTACATATAATTGCTATGAAAAATGGCCATTTGATTCAAATTTTAAAAAAAATTTATAAAAAGATAGAAATTAAATTTTAAATTTGATTATTGAATTAAAATAAAATTACAAGACAAATATTTTAATGCAGATCACTTATCATGACACAGACAACTTGTAATAATCACTACAATAGTAAATGCTGCCAATAGACCCATACACAAAATTCTTGAGAGTACATGCACAATCTTTGGTGAACTTTCCAGTGTTCCTGTGTGCAGTGAGCCATTTTCATAGGGAGGTAGTTTCAGGGTCCCACTCAGAGAACACCAGACTCTGGACATACAGAGTTGGATCAGGAATCTGTGAAAGGCGGTCTCCTGTGTTTGGGACCACTGCCCTGAGACCTATAAATCATACACTCACAAAAGCCTTAGGTCCAAAAGGTTTCATAGATAAAAATCCCACCTGCATCAGCTTGGTGTCATGTCCAGTGTAGACAACTATTCCATGAACCCACTGCGTATTTCTCAACTGAGCTCCTCGAAGAAGAATCTGATCTGCTCCCAGTGGAACAGTGCTAGGACAGATTACGTTGACGTTAGAAACGGTATTTTCTAAAATGCTTAAGAACTCTAGTCACCATAGAGTTACAAAAGTGCCCATTAGTAAAGTAACCTGTCTTGCATTTACATTATTTTTAGAAAGCAAGTAATTTCCCTCCAATATAAATAATTTTCTTAAACAGGAACAACAGAAGTATTTAAGTTGCTTCTCCTTAACACCAAACCAGGCATATTCTGTAACTTCACTATTGGCTATGGACTGCACTGTTCACCTCCACTATTCACATGTTGAAGTTCTTACCCCACAACATAATGGTATTTGGAGATGACACCTTTGGGAGGTAATGTGATTTAGAAGAGGTCATGAGGACTGGGTCCTCATGAAGGGATTAATGCCTTTATAAAAAGACACTCGAGGAGTTTGCTCTTGTCCTTGTGAGGACACAGCAAGAAGGGGCCTTTTGCTGGCCAGGAAGAGAACCCTCACCAAAAACCCAATCATGCAGGTACTCTGATCTTAGATGTCTAGCCTTCAGAAATGTGAGAAAAATAAATTTCCATCATGAAAACCACCTAGTCTATGGTATTTTGTTATGGCAGCCTGAGCAAACTAATACATTAACCAACAAGTAAGTAATGTTTTGGGATTCAGAGGCGAATTTACACACCTATTTATAACTTTTCCTGAATTAATAAGTCCATTTAGGTTCTAAAAGTGTTAGAAAGTGGTGGGGCTATGGAATTTGTCTGCCCCACCTCAGCACTCCCCCACCCCCCCTCACACTCTCTCTTTCTCCCTCTCTTCCCCCCTCCCCCACCTCCTTAAACTAAAAATAGCTTTGTGCATAATAAACGTTCAAAAAATTCATAAGAAAAATACACAGATCTCACCCCATGCTTGCATCGCAGTCCTTGACCCCCCTACAGACAAGTCCCTTTACTTAAAATCTCTAGAACATTTGTTTTATAGTATTTGAAGATCGGTTCCCCAAGAATTATGAATAAATTTCCAATGAATAGTAAGAATTTTGGAGCTATTCATTCCCAATTATTTAACCACATTTTTCATGAATAAGGTTTAAGTTGGTATTTTTGTGGATTTTTCTCAAGGCTACCCACTACAGTAGGTTGCTGGGTGATAAAACTCACACAGAGACGTAAGAACTAAGAAAGCACCACAGATATGCTGGAGTTCTTGATCAAAATGTAACACACAAATTTAATGGCTCAAGGATTATTATAACCAATTCTTCATTTTTAATAAGAGAAAAAAGGTCAAATATAAAGAAAAATGTATCTTAAAATTCTGGAAAAAGAAGGAAACAATTCCACAAGAAAAATCTACAGAGAATACAGAACTTCTTTGTAAGTGGAGGCAAAGCGAGGCTGAGGTCTTCATTTCTAGTGAGCTGCTCTGGGCCAGTAGGCTTGTAAGGCCAGTAGCAGCTTGGGCGTTGGACATTCTTTTAGAAACTACACAAATTCTACCTACACGGGTAAAAATCAATCCAGATGGGTAGGTAACAACAGCACCTGAATGAATCCTTAGGAAATACTGTATTCCAATTTAGAGAAAGAAAAAAGCAACAGTAACTCTCATTCTTTATGTACAATAGCATGCCTTTAGGACCTATCTGGAAGGAAATCCTTCTGGTGTATATCTCAAGATTAGGGGTGCATTTCAGAGTTGAAAGGAGCCTTGGGTCTCAAGTGGGTTTCCAATGAGTTCTTGGGAGGTTGGACTATGCTCTGGAACACACACGTGACAGCTGTTCCTTACCCAGCCAATGGGGTATAGTATGGCAACTGTCATCTCAGTACTGGTGGTATGGACTGACTGGAATTAAGACACAAACACTTCAAAGGCAAAGCATACTACTTTTCAACTATAAGGACTCAAGAAGAATTAGTTTTCATCACAGCTGGTGTTCCAGGGCTTTTGGCATTAGACTGTGACCCTCATCCTTAAAGGAAACAAAGTATATTCATTCCAAAGGGTCTCCAAGAGCTCTGGGTAATCACTGTAAATCCCAAATGTGCTACAGATACAAAGTTCTTGAAAAATCTGTCTCTACCTTTCATATGAAATACAGGATACTATATAAATTCTCTTTGTACCGTGAATCTTGGCACCATCATACAAAGTTTCTCCTTTATAGCATAGATTTGCTCGGCATCAATTTGACAGAAAACTGATAGACGTGGAAGCTGGCCAGTTAGGAACGTCAGACTGTAGAAACAATAGTGGTATAAATGGCCAAATCTATCATTAGTCTTTAACCATATGTTCGTGGAAAGATCACTCTGTTTAAATTTTAGAACATATAATTACTTCAAGGATTATGGGAAAGCTTTTGGAAGATCTGAATGAGAATGGCAGTTCAGGGTATACTTCAAATGTCCTTTAGAATTCAAACACTCTAATAATGCAATTACAAAATAATGAAAACACCAAAAACATTCTCTTAGGCTGGTAAGTTGAACTAGTATATTTAGCCAACATTTAGTTGGCTACTACAAATGCCTGGGAGATGAGATATACCATAAAGTAGACGAAGCAGGGAAAGTGGGGAGTGGAGGAGAAAAGAGGGGAGAAAGGAGGTAGGCAATACTTCACCTTTTCTGCCAGTTTCTGTGTCATTTCTTTGCTCTCTTTGCAACAAAGCTCACTGAAAAAGAAGTCTACACTTGCTATTTTCAACTCTTCTTCCGTTTTCTCAAACTTGCTCTTATCAGGCACCTGTTCTAATCAATTTCAATGATCTCCACTTGTTAAAGGTAAATGTTAGTGGTCAAGTCTCATTGTACTTGACGAACAGCAATGTCAGACCCAGTTTTGGTCCCTTGCCTTGGTACAGTTTTTTCACTCTCTCTTGCTTACCATCCTATAAACGTGGTCTCCATCTCTTTCACTAGTGCCCTCGCTTTTCCCAACAACGTTCGTGGGTCTTAGGAGAGTTCTTGGGTCTCTTCAATTTTCCGTCTATACCCTTTCATTCTCAGTGATTTCTTCCATCCCCATGGCTTTAAATATCTATGCCACCTACTCCCAAATATAACTCAGGAACACAGACTTCTGTCCCAAACTTCAGATATGTATTCAACAGCCTCCTGGGCATCTCTGTTTCAACCAGACAAACTTATAAAGTCCAAAACTGAACTGTTAATCTTTCTTCCTCAAAATCCTCCAATGGATTCCCATTTCACTCAAAGTAACACCCTCAGAATGGCCTATGAAGCCCATAGGATCTGGCTCTATGTTTTCTCTAGGCTCTTCTTCTATTACTCTCTTTGTTGATCATAGCACTCCAACCACACTGCTCTATCATTCCACAATTATTCCAGGCTCTTTTCCACTTGAAGATCATGTAATGATAGAACTAATAATTTACACTGACTACACCTTCCATCTGGAATCATCTCCCTCCAGATATTCAAAAGGCTAACTTCCTCACCTCCCACACATCATTGCTCAAATGTTACATTTTCAATGAGGCTACATGTAACCACCCTAACAAAAAATTATTTCCTTCCAAAGACTCCCAATCTTCCTTATACTGTGCTATTTTTTTCCCCAAAGTATTTATCACTTTCTAACATAGTATAAAATTTTCTTATTTATCATCTTAATTGTTTGTATGTTTGCCATTCCCTCACTGCAAGAATAAACTCACAAGGTGCTATGGTCTGAATGTGTGCCCCCAAAATTCACATGTTGAAACTGAATTCCCAAGGCGGTGTATCAGAAGGTGGGGCCTTTGGGAATGGAATTCACGCCCTTATAAAAGAGGTCCGAGGGTCTCCGCCATTGAAGACATACTAGGTACCATCTCTGAGAAACAGGCCCCCAGTAGACACTGAATCTGCTAGTGCCTTGATTTTGGACTTCCCAGCTTCCAGAACTGTGAGCAATAAATTTCTGTTATTTATAAATTACCCAGTCTAAGCTATTTTGTTACAGTAGCCTGAACAGACTAAGGCTTAAGGCCAGGAATATTAATCTGCTGTGTTCACTGTTGCCTCCTTAACACCTGTGACTGGCTTGGCTTATTAGATGCTTAATATGTACTGGCTGAATGAATGAGGGAAGGGGTAGAAGAGAAGAAACAAGAGAGGGCAGTAGCAGGTAACAAAAAGAGATGACTGTAATTAATAACACAGGCTAGAAAGAGCATACGAAATTTCACAGAGAGGGAGACAATAAATTATCCAGTACAACAGACCACTTGAAGGTAGATTCTGACCTCCCTGAAGCATCCCAAGATCACAGTAAATGACCCAAGCCATGCAGATTGGATAGTTAAGCCTATAACACGAGTATTTTGGCCAAAGAATAAGCCACAGGTAATTCTTACTCCCAATGTTTATCCACTAAACAATGTGCCAGACCTTGGAATATCTCTGAAAATATCCTCCTGCCAGATTGGAAGGAACTCTGGGAAGTCATCAGCTATCCCATGTGAATGGATAAGATTCAACATCTTCACAGAAGGATTCAAGGTAGATTCATTTTAAAAATGGTTTAAAAAGGGTTTTGAGTACTCAAACTTAGCACACAATTAAATACTATGTCTCCAGACCTGGAAGACACTGCAATACACTATGACACAGTGGATTCTGTGTTTTTATGAAGACTGATTTTACATACCCATGTCCATCAAGCCTTATGTTTCCAACAAAATCGTAGAGATGTCTGTTTGGACTTTCACACTCAATTCTGCCAGAAATCCTCATCAGACTGTCAATGTCTTTGATATCTGATGTTGCTGGTAAGCCCTGTTTAGAATTTTTAAATAAGCAAAAGAGTATATTAAATAAGTTGTATCTGAGCAAAGAGGAGGAATTTTAAATTCATCCATGTCTTAAGAGCTAAGGGATCCCGTTATTTTTATAAGCATTTCTCCCCTACTCTGTTAAATCATAATTAAGAGATTCCTTCCTCTCTGACTTGAGCACAGGTTTTTAGCACAAGAATAGGGGACCTTTGTGAGAGTTCTTAAATATATTTAAGAGCCGATAAGCTAGTCTGCAAAGACAATTTGAAGTCCCCAAAGAACCATTTGCTTCTGAAAATAAAAGTAATATTTAGCCCTATACAGTCTAAGTCTGTCTTTACAATCTAAAAAAATATGAAAAATAGATGGAATCTGTGTTCAAATAACATAGCTTTCTCTTTTTTCATTCCACTGAGAAGGGAAACTCTAAAACAGTTCTTCCCCATAGCCAACCAGAAGCAGCTGTCACTGAGCAGGCCCCCCTCACATCATGGCAGCCTAGGTCCAGGTCCTCTGTGATGATCTAGTTCCAACACATCTTAACCCTCCCAAATGTCATTTCCATCATTCATCTAGAAAACAAGGGCATAGATTTTTAAAGTCCCTTTTGAAACTTTAAAAATAAAAACTTTACCATTGTTTTTGCCCAAGATAGTATGAAAAATAAATATAGAAATGTAAACTATTCCCCAAGATGAATGAGTTTTAGAATGGGAATAGAAAGTATGGCTTTTTAAAAAATTTTTAAGTTCAGGGGTGTACACGCAGCTTATGTAGGTAAACTTGTGTTATGGGGGCTTGTACAGCTTTTTTTTTTTTTTTTTTTTAACATGGCAAAGCCAAATTATAATTTGAAACAGGTGAATAGGAAAAAGTAAGTTAAAACATATCAAAGCACTTAGAACTACTATTATCTGAGTGTTAGCTATTACATAAAATAATTTAAAACATTACAAATAGTACCTACGAGATAGACCATATTTAACCAGACAGATACGTCCAAGTCTTCCATAATACTTAACAATACCAGTTTACAAAACATCTTCATTGCGGTTCCATGGGAACATACTTAAAATAGGACAGATTACTTCAAGACAATAACACAAAGAAAGAAGCTTTTAATTCCATGTAAGAAAACAGCAGTGATTATATATACTTGTATTAGATCTTACCTGTCTAATTTTCAAGTTTGTTTCACCATCCAAGTTGGATGTTTCAATGTAGCACATGGCTTGGGGCTCACTATAGTTTAGAGTTGAGAAGCACAAACATTTAGTGGGGGAAGAAAAGCATAATAATAACTTATTTAAAAGCTCAGACTCACTGAAGCCTTTCGTTCTAGACAAAGTAATAGTCACCTAGCTTCTTGATTATTTTATTCTAACAGCAAGATGCTGAGAGGCAGAACCCATGCATGACAACTCATGGATCAGCTTTTCAGCCAGAAAGACCCAAAAGCAATTTTCTGACAACAATCAGTAATGGTCTTCAAGATAATGCAAATGAATAGATTTTCACATTATATTTAAATTGTTCATACACAGACACAACACAGACTGTATCTGAAATGTAAAGCAGTTTTGTGTCCAGATTTATCTTTAGCTCAAAAACACCACATGAGATTTCATGCTTATGGCACACATGTAAATTGGTTAAGAAAGTGGTTGATGAGAAAATTCCAGGTTGCTAATTCTACAAACTTGCATTTATTTCCCTTTTAGCTATGATGAGTAGGATCATATAAACCATAATATTTAGATTTCAAGGTTACTTTAAAAAATTAATATGAACAAATTTTACAATGAAAGTGGATATATAACTTTCTCCCTCTGTGTTTTCTGCTTCTGCTCTATTAAAGTTGCTTGAGAAATTCTCATAGAAGTAAAAACTAAAACTAAAATCAGTCAGCTTGGTCATATTTGCTCTGTGACCTAAACCTAGAAGATACACTTCATGTGTTCCCACCAGAGTGTCCTAGTAAAATCTGGTGTGCAGGAGCTGGCATAAGGGGTCCATGTTCTCTAGCTTCATCATACCACACAGCCTGGACTATTTTATCTTTCCCTTTCACATGCTGATTTGACTTGCCCAGCAACTACAGACATGTGAATTTGTAGCCCAACTATATAATCTGATCCTCAATTCTAAAGAAAAGCATTCTAAAGTTAATCTCATTAACACTTGGTTATATAATCTTCTTAATTTACTAATATCACATAAGTAATTATAAATGTAATCTTTTGTAAGCAAGGAGGTGCACTCAAAGCTAGAAAGAAAGAAATGTACAAGTTATAAACACCTGGAATTTTCTAATCAACATCCAATTTGTACACGTGCAAAACAGACTATTCCAAGTTTCAGAAATGGGCATGTACCTTAATTCTGTGGCCCAAAGATTTGTGAAAATTGTTTAAACACATAGACATTAATAAAAAATATTTTACTGACTCATTATAAAGTAGTTCTGCAAGTTCTTCCATTTACTCTATGAGCTTTCTTTCATAAAAGCTGCTACTTTTTCCCCAAAATGAGTCCTTTAAAATTTATATTTTTACTCTATCACTTAATCAAAATTTTATTTTTTAAATCACTGTCACCATAGTAATTTGGCTCTGGAAATTGCTCCAAATTCAAAATTTACTTATGTATACATTTGAAACATAGTTTATGAATTTATAAAACACATCATCTGATAATATAGAAGCACGATGACAGAAAATACTAAATGACAATGTTGATTCCATATTCTGACAGTAAGAATAACATTCTAATTCTACTTTTTTTTCATAAAGTAACTTTTCTAGGACTTTAATGGCTAAGAAGTTACAAAGTTCAAATGGCTGACTTCTATTTGAAATTGGGCTAATAAAATATGCACTGAAATTCAGAACATTCTCAATAATCACTTAAGACAGTAGTTACTGAAGCAATTCTTAATAGTGCTGTGAAAGGCAGCAAGAAGTCTCAGATAAGGAATCATACTAGATCATAAATATTTCAGCAAATTATGATGACATCTAAAACACAAACTAGTCAAGAGAGGCAAAGCAGGCTTTTTGATTAGTAAGTGAAAAATGAAACAAGATGCATATCACAATACAGACACTAGTAGACAGCTGAAATTGATCACAGTAACGTGCACTTTGTCACTAGATACAAGTGGGATAAAAGTTGATCCCAAAGCATGCGGTACAAAATGTGCAACATCCAGCTTTGTGCAGGGGGTCCTCTATAAACCCTATGAGCCCAAATTATAGTCACAATCGCTGGAAGGATTTTATAGAACTTACAGAAAATTTAAAATACAAGAATAACACAAATGTTTAAAATATAATCAATTTTCAGTGATTGTTTCATGAAAAGCTTAACATTGTTCAAAATAATATCCCAGAGAGATAAATTAAGCCTTAGTACTCAGGCATGTTTTTAAATATGAATATATATTAATGGTGCATAGGAAATTAACACCTATCTTTATTGGCATGCCTCTTAGACTCTTGTTGATAACAACAGGAGTTCAATCTGCCCAACTGAAGGACAAGCATCATTCAACATAGTATTCAAAAATGCCTTTAAAACATCTGTAAAATGTCCATCTTCAAGCAGTATAAGAAGTTTTTGTTTTAAAGGAAGAGACACAGAACTCAACCATATTTGGGTGCAACTGTTCTCTGGTTTAGGGTGAGGACCCACATACACGCATCCTATACGACTCAGTGGTTCTAACCTTGAGGACAGACTGATGAGATCTGCTGGGAGATGTTCCCCATTGGTCACTTTCACTATCTCCCCTACTGCCACCTACATGTCCCAGTAAAAAATAATTAAAATGGCAAAAAAAAAAAAAATGAATAACAGAGAAAAAAACAAACAAATGGACAAAAGAGACAGAAAGTTTGAAATTATTATAGAAAATAATACATGTTAATAAAAACGTTTAATGTCAATTTTTTCAAAACTTATTTTGATCAGGTCTGAAGTCATAAGAAAACATTTAATATTTGAAGATTAGTAGCTTTTAAGTCCAATTTAAATTTTTAGTGTGAAAACTTAATTTTTAAAAGTTTACTCATAAGCTTATCAAATTAAAGCATATTTTATAGAGAACATTATATTCTAGATTTTCCTTTTCAAATTTCTAAGCCTCATGTCATCTACTGTATGTCCACTTGTATAAAAAAAAGAAGAAAATAATTATGAAAATTATTTTTTAGGGTTTTTATGGGGTTTTGAAAAACAAAGTATTCTAGTCCCCACCCCATACACTTAAAAAAAACTATTAAAAATGTTCTGACTCCAAAATATTTTCAAGGTTAATTGCATAAACATCTTATTAATTTTAACGCAAAGATGCATGAAAATCAGAGAGGGTATAAAATAGAGATGCCAGGAATATGGAGTTGAATTAACAGCTGGAGCTATTTTACCCTACTTTATACTTTCTTAACACATAAATGTATTAGTTATTTATTAAATGCTAAAATTTGTTTCATTTCGAATGAAAGCCTATTAAACACAGTAACTTTCAACCATGTTCATGGTTTAATTTCAAACTACTTCACAGAAGATACACTCTTAGCAATTAAACATTGAAAAAATTGAACATTAAAATATATAAACAATTGTTTACTCTTACTGCTAAGTGGTTGCTCACTGGCAGGTGAAAATCATCATGTACTTCTTTTGACAGTGGAAAGTGTGAAGATAGATTAGGAGTATTCCAACCCTGACTTAGTCATTACTTAAAGTCAAAATTTATCTTTCTGTTAAATGATTATAAAAACTACTACCTATTTTGTGAGGTTAATGTAGGTTCAAAGGAGCTAAGTAAAGCTAAAACACTTTGATGAAAAACAAAAAGGAACCCTAAAAGGTGGTATTTATTTTGAATTCTATTCAATAACAAAAAGCAATGAATCAGACAATCTTTTAAAAATATAATTTTGGAGGAAGTTAATTACTGTGGAGACCATATTAAGACACAGAAACTGTATTGATAAATCAATATTCATGGCCACCAGTAAGTGTTTTTAATGTTTATAAAACACATTCTTTAAAAATGGTCTAAAGTTTAAGAACTACAAGTAGCTTGTTGGGGAGTTTCTGAAATTGGATAGAGGCAGATGACAAATATTTTGAAAATTTCCAACTTAAAATTAAGTATAAATTCAGGGAAGTATAGTCTATTATCTTCATATTTTTGAGCACAAAAATAAAAATTGTATTTAATGGCTCAGTCTATATGGTTTTCTCTATTAATAATGTCTCTGCCGGCCGCGGTGGCTCAAGCCTGTAATCCCAGCACTTTGGGAGGCCAAGGCAGGTGGATCATGAGGTCAAGAGATTGAGACCATTCTGGTCAACATGGTGAAACCCCGTCTCTACTAAAAATACAAAACATTAGCTGGGCATGGTGGTGCGTGCCTGTAATCCCAGCTACTCAGGAGGTTGAGGCAGGAGAATTGCCTGAACCCAGGAGGCGGAGGTTGCAGTGAGCCAAGATCGCACCATTGCACTCCAGCCTGGGTAACAAGAGTGAAACTCCATCTCAAAAAAAAAAAAAAAAAGTCTCTAAGAGTTTAATTGGGAAAACAATACTTTCTCAAGTTGCTGAAGGAGTTACTATGATTTTGAATTTTCTTATATGAATATAGTCATGTGACAACAACAGGTGTAGATTCTGAGAAATGCATTGTTAGGCAGTTTTGTCACTGTGCGAGCATCATAGAGGGTACTTACTCATAGATGGTATAGTCTATGGGCCATATGGTATAGCAGATTGCTCCTAGGCTACAAACCTGTAGAGCATGTTACTGTACTGAATAGTGTAAAGAAACAGTAACACAACAGTATATCTGCAATCGGAATTTTTCTGCTCCATTATAATCTTATGGGACTACTTTTGTATATATGTTTCATCACTGACCAAAATGTTGTTATGCAGCACTAGACTGTAAAACATTCAGATGGACAACTGTCCAATACATTCAACACGTTTTTACTTAGTAAAACTGAAAGCACACCATTCTGTAAGGTACTCTTAAGGCTTATTGATTTAAACAAAAAGAATTGGAGAATATTAGAATTTGAGTATTTAATCCATCTTAATATAAAACATGTGAAATAAAGGCAAGAGAGATTAAGTAGTTGGTTCAAAATCACCAACCCAGAATAAGAATCCTGGCTTTCCACTGCCTAAGGAGAGCTCTCTCTACTGCCTTATACTACCTAGAACCTGAGAGAGTAAGCTCTACCTCAAACTAATTCTCATAAAGCCAAAAATGGATGGTCAGCTTTATTCAGTTTTAGAGACTTATTCTGATAAAGCTATAAGCAAAGGAAACTAAGAACAGAAAGGGTGATTTGAAAACATCCATATTAATTTGTCTGAAAACAAAAACCTATAGGTACATGGCACAAAAAGCTATAGAAATATAACTATCTGTAGTTACTTTAATTGCTTGTAGACTTTTATAAATATCTAGATAACTTTTATTTGTTCAATTAAGTTTGACTAACTTGTCATGAATCCAATCACTTTAAATGACCTGATTAAATAGATTTTGAAAAAAGGACACTGTCCATATTCATATGTGGATTTACAAATAAAACTGTCCAAGGAAATGATGATAAACAACCTCTAAAATATTAAAAACAATTTTTCTTAATTTAAAATAGGACTAGTTTATAGTTTTTAAACCTAAAACCATTTGGAAGTCACATTCTTTAAAGGATAACAGTGCCATATGTTCTGAATACTAATTCACGACTAAAATATGAGTAAAATGAAAATTATCTAAATTAAGTAACTGAAAGAACTTAAAAGAAAGAGCAAAGTACTTTCTGTTGGAAGAGTATGGCATTTCAAAAGGCATGATGGCAAAAAGAATCATTCATCCATTTTTTAGTACCATTCCACCATAATAATCAAGAAACTTTGCAGGGATTTATGATGAACAAGGATTGAAAGATTAAAAAAAATCAATAGAACCCAATCCATGTATGATATAAAATAAATGACAGGAAATCTTAAAAGACTCACAAAAGCATCTGGATAAATCCAGAGGAAGAGTAGACTCTTAATTATATTTGAGTGATAAAGTATAGTACCTATCACTTATTCTATATGGCAAACTTGAAAGAGCCCTTAAGTCCAATCAATTTGTTAAATGTTTAAATAAAAATTATTAGAGAGGTTTTAAATTCTTCGTTTATTCCTTATTTCCTTGGAGAAATCACAAGGTCAATGCAGGGTAGAGAAACCATCCTCTACACTGTTTGAGCATCAGTAGGCATCTCTACCTTGATGAGAGAAGTACAGTGTCAGCAGGTATATACTCTTTGCCTTTTATTATAACTATATCTCCAACATTTACCTGAAAGAAAACTGGGAATTGGTTAATTATCTGCATTGAAAGATAGTTACAAATATACAACCCATTGTAAAAAGAACAGAATATAGTAAAAATGATCATTGGCAAACAAGAACCACTTATCTTCACAAAATGGAAGAAAATTATCTAGGAGTGAGATTGGAGTTGGAAGAATCCTTTAAAAAATGAACACTGTATGTCAGATATATAACTCATCTTGATAAAATTAACCTATTCTATCAACTTAATTGATATCTCAGCTTCTCATATTCTCTCTGACATAAAAACAAAAAGGAGGAATTTACCAATATAAATCTTTACCCTATTGAAGGAAATCTCAATGCAACTGGAGATGCTATCATCTATGTGATAATTACTCCTCACAATAATGCTTGTGAAACAAGTTTTGCTCATAACGCACCATTTGGAGAGAAAGAAAGTAAGTCTGAGATTCTAAGTCTAAGATTTTTACTCAAGATCATAGGGGGTTGAAGAGCTTAGACCTAAATCCACGTCTGACTGTCTGCAAATCCTGATTTTGCACAATTTTATGAAACGATCAATTTATTTTAAATTAAAATAAACAGCTTAATCTCTTCATTTTACCACCTCTTAGCATTTTTCTGTGCCTGGCATAAAGACAAATACGTACTATGTCCAGAAACTGTTAGCAATAATTTAAGTGACAGATTTGTCATATAGCTTTTGGCAAACAATATAATAACTAAGCAATAACTTGGCTTAACTGAGTTGACCACTGATAGCCACTCCCGTTACATCATGAAAGTTGACCTCTTAGTAGACAAATGAACCTAAACATGAATTTCAATACTTAGTAGATGGAAGCAAAGCCTTTAAAAAAAAAATTAAAGCCTGTTTGTTCTTCCCCTTCCCAACTTTTCCTTGAACTCTAAAATAACACTACTGAGGATAAGAACAGAGTAGTGCTCTTCGTGGGAATCATAAGAAGAAATTACTGCAGAGGCAGCCCATTGTGGTCTTTTTCTGGAAGAAGAGGTTAGGGAAGGTTGGGGCAGGGGTATTGTCTTTTCATTTATGACATGTATGCTTAGTTTCCAGGTAGGGAAGTTCTGGGTGCCTTGATTCAAAAAATAATTCAGCTGAAATCTGAAATTTGTACTATCCCAAACTGACATATTACCAGGGATCTTGGAATCAAACACTCCCTACCTCAAAAAAGGGCAAAGAGGAAAGATTAAAAACTGCAAGTATAAATGTAAACTAGCCCTTAAAATTATGTGCTGTGATGGTACTGTGATTGCATTCACTGACAGAAAGATAATAAAATATAAATTCTCTAATCATGGCACTTAGAATGCTATCCAGGTTACCATGTAATTGTTCTTTAATCACCTCCTCTGTGTTAATGTTTCCTCTTAAGTTCAACTATGTGTTTTACAAAATCATCACATGGTCTACACTACCGTTAGAGTCTAACGGTCAGCTTAAACAAATCCCTGATTCATTGCATTGCTTTCCAATGTCTTTCTACATTGTAAGACAAAACCAGGGCTTGTCAGTATTAAACTCAATAAAATTGTAACAATTTATATGGTACCCCAGAGGCCTGGGAAAAACCAGGGGCTTACTAAATGCTGAAGTTCTTACTAAAGCATACTAAATCAATGAATGCTAAAGTTCTTTACGAATACAGGGAATTCAACTCCTTAGGATGCCTATGTTTAACATCAATTTCTCAAAAGACATCCAAACACCTGTCTTTCCTTTTGGGTTTTGAGCTCCTAATATGGCATTCCCCTTCCAGCTTGATGTGTGCATAAAAGGAACCGAGAGAAGAAAAAGTCAAGATGACAAAACGCTTTGATCATATAAATTCTACTTGGAGGAATATCACGACAAAGCAGTTTTAGTCCCCAAAATGCCAAAGTTAAGGAACTGTTTAGAGATTTCAGTCCACTACCTTCAGCCTTCTGAAGTCACTGATATTAGCAACTTTGAGGATTTTGTAAAACAGTAAGATTATCAGACTGTAATAGCCTGATTTAAAAATCCAACTATTGACTGGGCTCGGTGGCTCATGCCTGTAACCCTAGCACTTTGGGAGGCCGAGGCAGTGGGGGGGGATCACCTGACGCCAGGAGTTCAAGACCAGCCTGGCCAACATGGTGAAACTCTGTCTCTACTAAAACTACAAAAACTAGCTGGGTGTGGTGGTATGTGCCAGTAGTCCCAGCTACTCGGGGGACTGAGGAAGGAGAATCGCTTGAACCTGGGAGGCGGAAGTTCCAGTGAGCTGAGATGGCACCACTGCACTCCAGCCTGGGCAACAAGAGTGAAACTCCACCAAAGAAAAAAAAAAATCCAACCATTTTAATCCAATTCTAGGTTCTAACATATTTATAAGAAATTTTTTGAGACATGAATTCTTAATCCAAAGAAATACATATCGTGGTGGAAACTTCATATATAAAAGCAACTTTACGGTGTTACTTTTACACGTGCATAGAGCGCACCATGCCATGCTTCTCCAGTAAGCCAGAAGAATGTGTTGATTCTAAGATTCTTCTGCTAAACTCTCCACCTGCATACACTTCAAAAACCTGTGAACAGTGTCAGCTGCACCTCATTGTAAAGAAATAATCTGGGTAGAGGGCAATGAAGCCAGCAGCTTACAGTTCAGAAGTCACAATGTAGTTCCTTGTGTAGGGCTTTGTGATTACAATACTTTCTTTTAAAATTATGTACCTGCAAGTTAACCTTTTGCAACAGGGAGAAGGTTTCAGGGCAGTAACTGGAGAGACAAACCGTTGATATCTGAGAGCTGAAGTCTGCCCAGCTGTGAATGACTATACGTACACTAGGCAAATTTGTAGGTCCTTTGAGGACCATTAAAAAGCAATCACAGTAGCCACACATTTAGAAATGCAGAGAAAGAGCCCTGAAGTAAAGCCCATTCACACTAAGGTCTATCATATTACCTTGGCATGTAGATGACACCCTTGGTTTTGGTTTATTGATTTTTAATTGCACAAAGTATTATATAAGCCAGTGAAAAGACCTGCCTCATAATCTTATTATCCCAACAAGTAAGGCTGCTTTTGTGCCTGTCCACTTGTTCAATAAACGATTTACAAAGCCAGTATCTCTGTATACAGAGCACTATTTTTTTCACCTGTGATTATATCTTATGACACAAGAACCCTTATTTGTCTTTCTTGCTGCTCTAAGCTCACTGCTTGGCATATGCACTCAATAAATACTTGGTCAAATGAATAGCATAATTTTTTTCTGTGTTGCTATACCATGTGACATAACAGATTTTACTTGTCACAAAATATACAAGAGTATAGAATGCCATAATTTATAAAACTTTCCCTATTGTTGCATTTCCCTATTTTCTAGTTTTTCACTATTATCAGTAAATAAAACTACAATAAAGGTTTTCATACACGTGGAGATACTCTATGATTCTTTTCTTGGGATAAATTTCCAGAATTTCCTTTTTACAGTTCTTATTATAAATAGCCAAACTGCTCATTCACAACAGTATGTAAATAAAATATTTCAGAACAATAAAACATCTGAAACACAAGTTGGTTTTTATTTAAGGAATAGGTAGCAAATGAAACTTCAATATGGTTTAAATTTGCAAATTTAATTAGGTTGAATATCATACTGAATCTGGTTGATTATTATATTTCTCCTGGTTTACTGTCAAGTTTTCTTATTTATATAACAATGATCTTAATAATTTGTCATATTTGGTGCAAATATTTCACATAGCCTGTCTATTTATATGTGGTGGTTTTGTTGTGTATTAGTTTAAAAATTTATATAACCTAATTCCATAGATTTTGAGATATTGCTTTTCTTCAAATATTTATTAAAGCCTTTATTCTATTTGTATGTTTTCTAAAAACTATGTTTTAACATTTAACTCTTTTAGTCAATTGAAATTTATTTTAGCATAGGTTGTGGCTTAGATATAAACTAAATATTCAAATAATATTTCTTAAAATTGCTAATCTGTGATAATACTTTTAAAAATAATTGTTGCCTTTTTCAAATTTTACATGGGTTTTATTTCAGGATACTATATTTTATTCTATACTATTTAAATCTGTTTCATGTTATTCTACTCATCAATGTCTATTTTTGCAAACAATCCACAGTATTTTAATAACTTTGACTTTCTATTTCACTTTTAATCTTTGCATACTGTTCATTTTTCCAAAATATATTCTACTTTCTTGTTTATTTTTGCAAATCAGATGAATAATTTAGTCAATTTTGAGGAAAATATAATTTCTCTGGAATCATATCCATAATTTGGAACAAGTAATATTTTATTTTTAATTTTTCCGGGAATATGACATATTTGTAAATTTGTATGAATATTTAATATCTAAAGTTTGGATGCTTTCTCTACAAAGGTCATACACATATATTAAATTTATTTGTATAAATTTGTATTGCATCCCATAGGCCACTGGGAATGAGACCTCTTCTTCACTTTATTCTAGATACTGCCAACATAAGAATCCTGTTGATTTTTGAAGATTTATCATGATTTCCTCACTGAGCCAACTTTTAGTGATTCTAATTACTTCTACAATTCTAATTATTAAATAACTTCAGCTCTTTTGGGCTGGATGACTTCTGGCAATACTTTAAATTCTGTCCTCTATCTCAAAATGGGATGCCTCAGTTAGGCGTGCCACTGCTGTGAGATGACTGAAAATGCTATTATTATGGGTAATTCTGGCTGGTAACTTGGTTTTTTTGTCTGTCAAAAATAGGAAAAGTAAAAGTTACAATAGTCCAGGTAGGTTAGCACGATCTTGAAATAATGATTGTTTATTAGGAAAATAAGACATTTTAAAGGTTTAGAGTGACATGATTATCTCCCAACTTTCTGTTTTTTATTTTCTGAGCAAGCAGCCTAGGTTATTTATTAGCATGCATATTTATGTTAACTACACTGACAACCCTAGGTAAAATAATATTATAGTAAAATTCAACTTATACTTGATTATATCCTACCTGTCTTCTTTCTAAAATGTTTAAATCCATATGTGCCAGAAAAGAGTATTATAAAAACTTATTTTGAAACTGTTTTTAACATTTTTGTTTTTTTATTTTGTTCTTCTAAAAAAGATTCCTATCACAGAAGTAAATAAAGCACAAGCAAGATATTTTCCTCTTTGTTGCTCTTATGTCAAAACCAAAGAAAAAACAGGGGTAAAATTTCAAGCATATGAAAGAGATGTCAGTTTCTATTCTAGCCACTGACTGAAAATGAACAAATTAATTAATTTTTAATTGGGGGGCACAAGGTATCCCCTGCAGAAATAGAAGGTGACCATGACCATGACAAGGTAGAATCAAGGGCGTGGACTTAAGCCAGCTGGGAAGTACTGGAGTGCAAATAAACTGTTGATCACACTTCTATCGTCCTAGCAAAGTTATTATCCTGTGAGATACACCTCTAGCATCCTGGCAATCCCAGGAAATAAAGTGCCCTGAGAAGAGTGGCTCAGCCTCAAAAGAGTCTGTTACCAAAGTTATTCATTTGTGGATGACTAGATTTTAAATCTTCTTCCAGAATTAAGGGAGAACTAATAATAATTGCTTACCTTTTGAAAGGGAAGTCTGAAAAAAATGAACACCTGAATGACATTCGTTAAATTATGACTCAACCCACTAACTGCCATGTTAGAGGTCCTGTAAGCAAATTAACCTTTGATGTTATAGAACTGACTTCATTAGAGGACAACGCTTAATTTGTAAGATTTTTGCTTTAAAGAAATTAGTGGTAAGCAAATGTAATTAGTCTCACTACATAATTTTGAAGTAAAATATGCAGAAGTAAAAAATTAGAACACAAATTCTTATTTTTACTTGGACAGTAGATGACTAAAGCAAAAAATTACAACACAAAACAGTTCATGGTTAAATAAAATCTATGAAAACATTACTCAAAATATACTATGAAAAAAACAAAAAGTTCTAGATATTACGTTTCAAAATAAGTCTTTCTAGAATATAGCAGAAATATTAACTGTATGTGACTAACTGAAGACTCCATGCATATTTATATTACTAAATAGCTTTTATAGAATTCTTGACATTTGCTTATATTATACAAAAAATTACATCTACTAGAGTACACCTCTGTGCATTTGTTTTCCTAGAACAAAATAAAAATTAATGCATACCTTTTCCCAGTGGACAATTTCCCAAGCACCATTTCTCAAAACTGGAAAGAGAAAAGGTGACATTTTAAAGAACTTTTTTTTTTTTACTATGAAAAGGCCATTTCTGATGAAATAATCATTTTAAATGAATAGCTTCAGTCAAAATAACTAGTAGCAATTTTTATAGGTTAAAAATCTAATTTTGATAGCAAGAGTATGTAAAATTACACAAATAATTAGAAACAACCAACATATATTTTAGCTCTCATAATAACATATCACTAACACAGGGCAATCTCACTGGTGTTACCAAGGGCTTTCTTCAGCACATATAGGAACTATGGGGCTCAGCTGGAGGAGAAAGCCACAAAAATGATGTGACAATAGAAGTGACAAGCTTAAAAACATTTCAGATGTTACAACAGTAGCTATGTTTAAAAAAATATTCACAAGCACAGAATAATAGCTTTCTAATAATTTAGTAAAAAGTTAACAGATAAAGCCAATAGAGAAAGAATTTGCACCTTTAGATTTATAGTAATGAAAAGAAAAAAAAAAACACCCAAATTTTCTTTTCTTTTTCCTTTTTTTTTTTTGAGATGGAGTCTCACTCTGTGGCCCAGTCTGGAGTGCAATGGTGCAATCTCTGCTCATTGCAACCTCTGCCTTCTGGGTTCAAGCCATTCTCCTGCCTCAGCCTCCCAAGTAGCTGGGACTATAGGCATGTGCCACCATGCCTGGCTAATTTTTTTTTTTTTTTTTTTTTTTGTATTTTTAGTAAAGACAGGGTTTCACCATGTTGGCCAGGCTGGTCTCTAAACTCCTGACCTTCGAGTGATCTGCTGCCTCAGCCTCCCAAGGTGCTGGGATTCCAGGCGTGAAACAGTGCGCCCAGCCCTAAATACTCAAATTTTCTATATTTGGTTTTCTGGAAAAAAAAAGAAAAAAAGAAAAAAAAAAAAAAGCCAAAAGAGGAGGCTACTATTAAATTATGATGGGAGCAGAGAGGTATTTCTTAGGGTTTCACTACTGCTTCACATTAGTAGGGTTATCCAGTAGACATTTTTTTCCTGTGATATATCTGTGCTGTAACACTGAATATGCTAATAAACAGTAGAAAATCATAATAAAAATATAAAACAGAATAAGAGCCTGTGAGGTAGATGGCACAGCACTTAGTACTTACTTAACAACAGAAATATGTCAAGGCTCATCAACAAATTATCCAGATGTAAATTCCATGAGGGGAAAGCATTTAATATTTAACATTATATTCCCTGGAAATAGCACAGTACCTGGCACAAAGTAGCTACTCAGTAAATATTTGAAAATGAACAATTTTTTGGTAGAAAAATATTTGATTCAGTTTCTTTGGATGTTGGGAATGATGACGCCTGAACCCTCTAAAAGTAACACAATGGTAATAATCCCCAAAATGTTAAACAGCAAATTTAATATTAATTACAAACAAAAATGTCTTGAAATCAGTATCACAATATTTAATTGAATTATCTTTACATGTTTCTAAATTCCCTGAACACATGCATTGTGTCTTAGCCATTTCTTTTATTTCTTTCTTTTTTTTTTTTTTTGAGACGGAGTTTCGCTCTTGTTACCCAGGCTGGAGTGCAATGGCGCGATCTCGGCTCACCGCAACCTCCGCCTCCTGGGTTCAGGCAATTCTCCTGCCTCAGCCTCCTGAGTAGCTGGGATTACACGCACGCGCCACCATGCCCAGCTAATTTTTTGTAGTTTTAGTAGAGACGGGGTTTCACCGTGTTGACCAGGATGGTCTCGATCTCTTGACCTCGTGATCCAGCCGCCTCGTCCTCCCAAAGTGCTGGGATTACAGGCGTGAGCCACCGCGCCCGGCCTATTTCTTATACTTGCAGCACTTTTGGCATATAGGACATTCAGATGGTTATAAAATGAGTATCTCACAGTGCATTTTAGTGAATCAACTCCATTAATTTATAAAATAATAATCATCCTAAGCTAAAGAACTAAAAGTATTTCTGGTATACTATCTTAACTGTATGAACAAGTTAAAGTGCCAATTTTTACAGTACTTACACAGGTACAGACCACGGAGCTAAAGCACAGGCACCTAAAATTGATCCCTGTATCCCGAAACACAAAACTCTAATGCCTGCAGAGCTCACCCAAACTGATCCCAGGAGTAAATCCCCTGGCTCTATGTTGCCCATGGAGCAGTAGGGTTTGGAGCATCTGACCCAGAGTCAAAAAAGCCTCTGGTAGAAAAGCAAGAGGTGCTGTCTCTGCTAGCGTCCAACAGTGTTTTCCTCAAAATCAGTTGTAACAAAGCATAAAGAATAAATGAGGGCCAGGCACAGTGGCTTTGGGAGGCTGAGGCGAGCAGATCATCTGAGGTCAGGAGTTTGAGACCAGCCTGGCCAACATGGTGAAATCCTGGCTCTATTAAAAAACACCAAAGAAAATTAGCCAGGCATGGTGGCACACACCTGTAGTCCCAGCTACTCAGGAGGCTGAGGCAGGAGAATCACTTGAACCTGGGAGGCAGAGGTTGCAGTAAGCTGAGATTGTACTCCACGCTGGGCAACACAGTGAGATTCTGTCTCAAAAAAAAAAAAAAGAAAAGAAAAGAAAAAAAGAATAAATGAGAGCACACTCCCTTTTAATCATGTAACCCAGTGGTCACAATTTAATAAGAGAGATAGTACCAAAGAGAGATGGTAAAGTCCTGTTCAAATCAGCTACACCTAAGTTCAACTGACACAGAATGACTGTGCTGTAAGTTTGATTTAGAAAAAATTAGTCAATAGTATCTAGAGCTCTTTATTGCCATTTATTTCCTTCTGATCCTAGCCCATATTAGTAATTCTCACAATTGTAATACTTTGTTTTTTTAAAACAAAAACAAAAACAAAAAACTATCAGTGTTCAGTGTTTCTAAAATCAAGATATTTGACATGAGGATTAAAGCTTCAGGAGGACTAAGTTCCAGGGAACACACTATCTCCTGGAATTTCATTTGGGTCTCAAGTTTTCCAATACATGGACAAGCTATCTTTCTCCATTTATTTATGTCTTAATTTTTCTTGGATATATTTTCCAGTCATTGGCAGTATTTAGAAATGCATTAAGTTTTTGTACAATGACCCTGTCATCCTGTAATTTTGTTGCATGCACTTATTTGTTTTAGTATAGTTGTTTTAACCTTTGTTTTGTTGTTTCTGTGGCAATACTTGCAAAGCAACTTAATTTCTCTTTGTTAACAATGCCGCATTATGATTTTTGGCAGTTTTATTATGCTCATATGCTTTCCTGTTTATCCCTTTTTAAAACTCTTTCTTGTAGAAAAATGCCTTTGAAAATCTGGAATTAATTTTTACAACTAAAAACGTTCTGTTGATTTTATGCCTTAAGCATGTCAAAATCTGCCAATATTTTAAAATCTTCTCCATCATCACCAATATCAGCACTCCTAGTTCAAGGAACTACCTCCCAACTGGAAGTCTGTAATAGCCACAGGATAGTTTCCTGCATTCATTCTTAATCTCTTTCAAATTCAGTTTCTACAATGTAGCAATAAGGATTATCTATGATGATTTTACATATATGTAATAATTACATATTATTATGTACCGGTCCATACGCGCAAGTTAGACTGAGTCAACCCTTGCTCAGAACACTAGGCTCATAAATAAACCCAAAAATCTACAAGGCCTTTTAGGAAGCAGTGCTTGACTCTTTTCCATCATCACCTCTTGCCACTCTCGCCACACCCTCCCTTATGCCCTCCGTAGTGAGAGCACCATGCTCTCTGCTGCCTCAAATCTTTTGCACATGCTTCTATGTCTAGAATGCTCTTTCCCTCCATCCTCACCTAATTAACTCATAAACACACCTTCTGGATCTCAGCTTTAACAGCACTTTTTCAGGTTACATTGTGTTGACACCCAGTCCTTCCTCCTCACATCCAAATCTAAATGAGTTCCATGTACTTTTCCTTTAGAGCACTTACCACAGCATCACAGTCTTACTGTATATTTAATTAAATAGGATTATTTCAGGGCTGTGTCTTCCCCAGATTGTAAGATCCATGACAAAAGAAACCTTCTCTATTATACACACTGGTACTGTTCCAGTGTTATCACATAGCACACACCAACATAAAGGTGCTAAGTACTAGCTGAGTGGAATGCTGGATCCATTAATATTCTTATCTGTTATAAGATCATATAAAACCATTGTAACAGTTATAGACTTACCAAAGATGGAACTCTACTACCTAGTAGGGCTCATGTTAAAAACAACATGTACATGACATTTAATAAATAGTTATATAGGAAAATACGTTGGCAGTTTCTCAAAAAGTAGCACAGTTACCACAGACCCGGAAATTCTACTAGTAGGTGTATACCCAAGAGAATGAAAAACATATGTTCACACAAAACTTGTATATGAATGTTCAATGAAACATTATTCATAACAGCCAAAGAGTAGAAACAACCCAAATGTCTATCAACTGATGAATGGATAAATAAAATGTGGTATGTCCATTAAATGGAATGTTATTTTGTCGTACAAAGAATGTAAGGACCAATACAACAACATGAATGAATCAGAGATATGCTAAGTGAAAGAAGCCAGACACAAAGGGCCACATATTGCATGATTCCATGTACATAAGATGCCAAAACACACAAATCCATAGAGACAAAACGTAGGTTAGTGATTGCAAGGGGCGAAAGAAAGGAAGAAAGGAAAAAAGGCAGAAAGCAAGCAAGCAAGACAGAAAGACAGACAGAAAGACAGCAGACAGACTGCTTACATGTGTAGGGTTTCTTTTTGGAGTGATAAAAATGTTCTGGAATTAAGGCTGCAATGATCGGTGCATAACCTTGTGAATGCACTAAACACCACTGAACTGTATCCTTTAACACGGTGAATTCTATGGTATGTGAACTATAACTTAATTAAAAAATAGCTATCTGAAAAGATGCCAATGAACTATTTAAACATTTGCTTAAAATAGATTTCTCAGTTTTATAAGTGACTAAACCAATTTTCAGTGCAA